CCCCACAATCGTCTCAGCTCCCCTTGCCCAAGGCACTGCACCCGTCTCCCTGCTCTCTCACCCCATCTTCCCATCTCTCTCTAGCTCCGTCCCTGTCTCTCGGGCTCTCTCCACCTCTCCCTATCTCTGTCTCTCCATCACTTGGTCTGTTTTTTCTTGACTTCTGTCTCCTCCTGCCAACTCTCTTCTGTTTCTATCTGTCCTTGTCTCCCCTCAACTCCGGGTGTCTCTCTCCCCCCTCCCCCTCCTGGGTTTCTTTCCTCACCACCACCCCCATCACCGCAGTCTCTGCTCATGCTGTCCCCCACCACATCCCTCGTCCCCTCTCTCTCCTCCCTTCATCTCTTGTCTCTCCCGGTCTCTGTTCTCCGTCTCTCAGTCTCTGTGCCCCACCCCTGCTATCTCCCTCTCTTCCTCCTCTTTCCCCGTCTCCCCATGTGCCCCCCCCATATCTGGGTCTTTCTCCACCGCCCAGTCTCTCTCTTTTATCTCTCTCCATCCCTCTCCGGCTCTCCTCTTTCCGTCTCTGCCCGCTCTCCCACCTCTCTCTCCATCACCCTGCTCCCCGCACCTCTCCCCCATCCGCCGCGCTCCCACCACCCTCACTCTGCCTCCCTGGGTCCCCCTCCCTCCCGCCTCCCCCTCCAGCCCCCACCCCCCATTGGCCCCTCTCATTTCCGTGTTGGTTTTGATTTCTCTTCCCGACGCTTTCAACTCCCCGCTGCCTCCTCCGGACACGTTATAACGAGGAGCCGTGGGATCGGCGCTCCGGGCCCTGCTCCCACGCTCCCCCCGCGTCTCTCACACCAGTCTCTGCCATCTCGCAGTCTCTGGCACCATTTCTCCATCTCTGTCCCCCGCCTCTGTCCCTGTCCAGGCCCCCACAGGGACCTTCGTCCCGATGTCCACTTCCCCGCCCCACCTGCCCCGCTGTTCCTGCCTTGACTGTCTGAGCTCGACGCCGGCTGGGTCTCTAATCACAGGTCTCCCGTTCTCTGTGATCCCCCACCTTCCTGTCTCCACGTCTCTGTTTCACATCTCTGGGTCTCCACGTCTGTTTCCACATCTCCACACCTTCTCATCCCCACACCCGTCTCCGTATCTCCCCATCTGTCTCCACATCTCTGACTCTCTCTCTCCATGTCTCTGTTTCTGTCCCAGTGTCCGTCTCCCGGGGTCCCTTTGATCTCATCCTGCCCCCGGCTCCCCCCTGGCCCCATTGATCGAGGATCGACCGACAGAGGGAGCGGGTGCCTGCGGGGTCCCGGGCTGCAGGGCGAGACACAGGCCTGGTAGGACTGCCGGACAGATGGACACACAGCCCCAGCCCCAACTGCTGGCTGCGGAGGGGAAGCCCTGCAACCCCCGCCTCTCCCTGCCGGCCGGCGCGGCGCGGTGCGGATGGGGACTCCGGGCAAGCTTTAATTTTTAATTTTATTTTGCTTCCTCCACCCCCCCTCTACCCCCCATCTCCACTGCCCGAAGCCATGGCACTGAACTGAGTGTGTGTGTGTGTGTGTGTGTGCGCGCGCACGCGTGTGCGCGTGTTCATGTGCGTGCGCGCAGCAATGTGGAAAGGGGCTGGGCTGGAGAGCTACCTCCCTCCTCTCCTCACTGTGCAGTCACCCACGGGCCCACACACTAGCCCAGGCACATGCAACACCATTGTCATACGCAGTGCACACCAGACACAATGTCAACAAAGCACGTGCAACATACAACTCACAGATGAGTCAAACCAGTCATACACATGCACAACCACACATCTCTTACACACACACACCAGCAGAGTCATTCACCCAGACACACGCCAAATTAAATTGTACACAGGCACACACAAGACCACATCAACTCAGTCCCACACAGAAACAAGGACACACAGTCACAAATCGTAGACACACACCAGCATTGACACAGAACCACACACTGAGGCTCACAATCAAATACAAAAACACAGATCTGCAAGTACACAATTACACGCAGACCCAGTGTCATACAGAAACCCAGAGACACACCCCGACACAGCCAGTCACACACAAGTGACTCCAGAGCACTCAGAGCTACACACCCCAGCAGCCCCAGAGACCCTCAGTCCTGCGTGGGGACAGAGACGTTCACGCTGGTACAACACAGCCAGCTCCATCCACATGGCAAACACATGCCTAACAGACACACTCATTCACAGACACAGTCGCAACTGCACACCTATGCATGAAAAACACAGACCCACACACGGGCCTGCAGCCCAGCGGGGAGCTGCACTAAGTCACCCACGCAGGTACTCAGCCCCACAGGCCAGCGGGGCAGGTGGGAGGGGCAGTCAGAGAGAACCCCGCCCCAGGTTCCCCACTGCTCCCCCCCTCGCCATCTGTCCACCTGTCTGTCTGTCCATCTGTCTTTGCACCTCTTAAGTGCAGATGTGTGTGTGTGTGTGTGTATGACACTTGGACCTACTTCTGCTGCTCTCTCGGTCTCCCTGTCTCTCTCAGCACCCCTTTGGGTGTCCGTGTCTCTGTCTTTCTCACTGAGGGTCTGTCAAGCCATCACTCTGTCTGCTTCCATCTCTGAACGTCTCTGTCTCTCTTCATCTCTGGGAATCTCTGTCTCTCCGTGTCTCTGTCCTTCTTCATTTCTGGGCATCTCTGTCTGTGTCTCCATGTCTCTGTCCCCTCTGTCTCTGAGTGTCTCTCTCTGTGTCTCCACATCTCTGTCCCTGGACATCTCTGTCTCTGCATGTCTCTGTCTCTCTGCCTCTAGATGTCTCTGTCTCTCCATGTCTCTGTCCCTCTTCATTCTGGGCATCTCTGCCTGTGTCTCCATGTCTCTGTCCCCTCCGTCTCTGGCTGTCTTTCTGTGTCTCCATGTCTCTGTCCCTGGGCATTTCTGTCTGTCTGTGTCTCCCTCTGCCTCCCTCTCCTCACCCCCCATCAGGGGGCTGGGGTTTAACCAGTTGTTTTGATTTCTCTAAGCTGCGCAGGCTGCCTCAGGAGCCGCCTCGGGCCACACAACCCCCCCCAGCCCCTTCATCCCTCACCCAGCCCCCACCCCCACCTCCCCTAACACAATCTGCACAAGTGGAATGAAAATTGATTTTTTTTTTAAATTTCATATCTTCTCCGGGGCTCTGTCTAAAGAGGAGAGAGACGCGGCCCAAGACCCTTCTCCCACACCACCCCCGCACACACACACACCCTTCACACTCAGGACACACACACACACACACACACACCCTTTGCAGCCACCATGCCCACACATTCAGGCACCATCTGGAACATCCCGTGGAGGACACATCTGTACACATGGCAGACACACAG